AAAATATTCCTCTACACCATGTAGTTTTTAAATAAAGTGATGTAGAAGAGACTTACAAAATATGTGTATACGATGTAGAATACACTTATTTATTTTATATGTGTATGCAATGCATACATAACGATATTTTCAAGTCCAAAGAAAAAAAAATATTATGTCCATAATTACACGTATGACAGAATTTGATTCTCTAAAACATCAACCCATATTTTACAGAACATATAACTTCTAATATTTTAAAACATTAAAAAATATTAAATATAAAAATAAAACGGTTTTCGCAAAAACTTTGTTATTGGCGTATTTCTTGTCAGAACTCAAAATCCGAACAATATCTCATAAACATTATGCAACATAGTGAAACGAGTTCCTTTCTGGACAGTTTTCGAAAACCATGATTTATCATTCCGTTTCAAAACAAAATATGAAACAGTAATTAAAGCTGGCTTTCTGAACCTAGTAAAACGATCCCCGGACGTTTTACAGCCTGTGCAACGTACCCAACTTATATTTTGTATTCAAATACGTGCACTAAAATGTAGCTAGTTAATTAGGACACATTTGTCATTCTGATAGGAATATCCGTGGTGATAATTAATTATGTAATTTAAATAATTATGACGAACCCGCTGTTACTCAGCTAATTGTGAGAAAACCGATTATTGCATGAATCATTCAAGTAAACCACCAACGTATCCGCCGAAGACTAAGCGCATTGGTAATAAATATAAAATATTACACAATAGTTTGTCTCCAAACTAAGTTGCACACGTAAATCGACTAACCATGAAAACATATTTTCCTCGTCAAATGAATAGTTCGATATGACTGCTGACGACGAATAATAGACTATAAATATCAAACACAATCCTTCTTGCTCCTCTGTTATTTCGGAAGTATCCCGAAACATTTGTAAATACTTGTCGGGTACCCGATTCCGGCTAAAAGTCAAAAAACCATAAGTACCTCGAATATAATATATACATACACAATATCGTATACAGGACTGTAAAAAGGTTTCGTACCGCGTATATAATCGTCGACTATATTTATAGTATTTTTATACGTTAAAAAGTTCATAGACAAATCTCAAACGATGGTTGGGGGTGACCGGGAGAGGGAACTCTTCTCAGCATTGGCGTGAATTGCGCCACGCTAACCAAAATCGTACAGTGCTGTCCGTGATGGCTTTCCGACGAAGACTTACACGGCTATAAATCCTAACGCGTTATCATAACAGTTTCTTCAGGGGATCCGTACTTGGAAACGACCGTCGTAACATGCAATGCAATGAGCAGGGGTAGGTTTTTTATCATTCACCAAGGGAGGGACTAACGGAGGTTTAAGAATTTTTTTGGTTGTTTTTTATATCTATAAAACATTGAATTTACAGAATATGTTTTTGAGTCCCTCGAAAGAAAGTAATTTTTTTCACGATGGTGACAAATTTTAAATAGTTGAATTATTGGTATCAATTTTAATCTGAAATCATTTTAAAAATATAGGTATACTAATATAATTAACAACAAAAATGAGCTATCTATTTATAAAAAATATATAAAATATGTATCATGTTCATCAATGACGATTGCCGATATTTTATAATAATTATAAATATATCAATATATCGTAATACTTGGCTTTGTAAAATATTTAGCTTAAGCCCAAGGGGGGGGGGTAGCTAATACCTCCTTAGCCACCCCCTTAAACCTGCTCCCACGCTGTGGCGTAAATTCTACGGCATGATCGAATTAAATATCAAAAAATGGACAACCGACGCTGTACACGTGTTCATAGAACGCGGTAACGTTTTCCGTGAATTTCGTTTCGGATCTAATCCAATGTACCACGCGTTACCGCTTGGAATCGGTAAATATTGTACACAATGCTCGTAATAAAAGGGTCGATATCGGTTGGCCACATCAGTTGGCGATTGTGTGCGTTCACAGGGAAGAAAAATAAACATTAATTCCCAAACGGATTGCCAATGTTGTCGATTTCGCATGCGGATACGTGTTTTGCTATAGTAAAATATATAATATATAATATTATACTCGCTGTGGCGTGGCGATGTGGTTAATCGAGAGGCGGTCACCTTTCAGTTTTCGACGGGGTATCGATATGACATATTTTCCTCTGAACATTTTTGAGTTCGCCATGATACTGTACACTCGTATATACGTCGGATAAATATCACACAGCGTGTTAATAACGCGCAATTAAATACACGTGAATCTTACGCAATTCGTGTAACCAGCATCTCACCACTTTTGGGCCACTTAATGAGTAAATAATTTTAATCGGTTAACAATAATAATAAACATTACAACACAACACATCAGCAATAATATGTTGGAAATTAGCAATTTTAATACCTTTTTTATGATTCAATCGATATTATTTTTCGATTCCATACAATTGACCGGAAACACCTTTAACCAACGCCCTGTAATATTAATATACATGTACACTTACATTAATTTAAACATATATTATACGTATACTCATGTTAAAGTTTTACTCCGAACTGTTAAAGAATTTCATGTTATACATCGATCCCACCAATTCCCGAATATGATTTTATAAAAAAATTCATACGGGCAAATGGCCAATAAATACGTTTTTGGTTATGAATAAATATATGTATATTTTACTGAGTACTGATTCCACAAAAACCACATTTAAATGTGTTCAATTTTAAAAATTTGGTATAATTTTATTTTTATTTTGGATTTGCATGATTTCGAGAAAACAAAATACAACGATGAAAAATGTAAAACTAAAAAAAATGGTGGTAGGACACCTTTTACAACTGCTCGTAATGACACGTATTTACCATGATTTTTTGAATTTCAGACGAAACAAAATTAATACCTATAACAATATTGTATTTTGTATATTTAGTAAATTGGTATTCGAGAACATGCAAATATTGCAGATTTGACGTATCACGATTCTGTCGACATTATCTCCATACAAAGCAAACCTAATGTTACCGTTATTACTTCATAAGCATTACAAATAATTTTAATATTCTTTAATCGAATTGAATATGCACCGGTAAGATTTTTTAAACGCCTGACATGTTTCTTAAATGATTTTCTTTTTCTATTTCATAAACTGACGACCAGAATATATATTTTAATTGTGTTGTAAATTGAGATATTTTAATTTGACTGGTTTTATGTCAGTGCACAATCATAAGCTCAAAAATCAATAGTATAGACGTCACGTAAATGCACTGAAAACACAAAATAAAGTTCTTCTACGATCCCCAGTATATATTTTGGTATTCAAATAAATAATTGTGATACTCCCCACAGAGGTTTCTTATTCAAAACGTGTCCTGTGTAATAGCTTCTTTTTTTTTCTTCTTGTCTTAATATCTTCGTTTGGTAAAAGGTGACGCGACCGTTGGTGATTAAAAAAATAAAGTCGTCAGTGGTGCCTTTGCACGCACACTATTTGTTTAATTAAAAATATTTTCCTTGGTCGTTAAACAGCGACGTCACATCTCTATATTTTATAGCGTTATCCGTGCGTGCACGATCATATTTTTACTCCTATCGCACCAACAAAACCGTGACGCCAATAGCGGTAATGTTCACAGCACGCGATTTTGATCGAGCCCTGCAACAATATTGATCATCAACGGATGGGCGCGCGAGACCATCGAATTCAAGATTTCGTTAGGATTTCAGTAACCCATCGCATACCGATTTTTCGCTGCCATACGCGTTGATCGAATTCGCTCGTTCGTATCACGTCAGTGGCAACATTTTTAGAACTTTGGACCACGTCGACAAATCGAAAAGGGTTCATGGGTGCCAGACAATACGACGAAATTCGATAGTTTTCAGAATTTAACATGAGCCGCTGGTCACCGACCATTGTTTTACGTCAAACTCTTATTGTCCGTTCATGTGGAGCATTAACGCTAAAATTCAGCCGTATACTATAAAAGAGGTAGCTCGCACAGCCTCATTTGAAATTTAACATTCTAATAATTTATTATAAGCCTATTATCAGTATTTAATAGATTATTAGTAATAATCTAATTATCTTTCAAAATATTAAAATTAACAAAATTTTTAATTTTATTTTAAATCGTAAAAGACAAAAGTTAATGGTAAAAAACCGATAACATACAATTTGGCCGCGAAAGAGTAAAGTACCGCACGTCTCGTCCTACAGAAATGTTAGATAAAATTTGTATACACACTTAGAAAACTAAAACTAAAGTTAGTTCTTGGCCTTTCAATAACCTTAAGTGGCTGTGTGGTAGTTTTTATAAACAGCGACTGTTTTGCTGGCCTTGCATTTTACTTGGTTAAGTTAAAAATGTTTGGGTTACTGATGGCTATTATGATTTAAAAAATCTAGCTAGAAGTGTTAAAATGCATGAATCATCAAAAGAGATAAAGATCCTAATACCTTGAAAAAATGTATATTGCATGTTGTATTTACTAAATATCCGTCTCACTACTTACGAGATCTACTAGCCAGTTATGCAGTTTACAGCTGGTGCAGTCGAACGCGTCATAGGTTATGACTTAACCGAGACGAGGGGGTCCCCATGGTTGGTGGCAAATTTTTTTGCAACTAAAGGGTGGCAGCATTTTTTTTGTAACTATAATCAATCATCCATTTTCTTCCATCGATCGGAATATTTTAATATCTTAAGTTTTTACATAGCGACCAAACCGCGATTTTGTTTTCACGATAATTTTATCAAAAGTTGACCACGTGAAATCTATAGATAATAAATATTATTTTTGTTGAAAAATCACATAAAACCCGTTCAGGAATGGCAATAGAACTTTACCAGGGGCGTCAAACTCTAAACACATATCCGGACACGTGTCGAACGTTCGAAACGTTCAAATCGGTCCGACAATGATTGATGTTGCACTGTTGGACGATTCGGTCAAACGGAAATCAAACGATCCAAAAATATAATCGTACTAATCTGTTATTATCATTTTTTCTTTTCTCCTCAGACCACATCAGCGACCAACAACCTACTGGACCGGTCGGCGTACGCGAAAATGAACGGCCGAACGGTGACCGGCAAGTCGGTGACCGTGCCTCCATTCCGTCCACTGGTGGCCGCGACCAACAACATGGTTCGCAACGTCCGACTGGCCACCCAACAGCAACAACAACAACTGCCCTTGAAGCCGCTGCCGGTGCCCGCATTCGCCGCGCTCCCCGAGTCAATAGCGAAGATCGCCGTCGAGACGCCCAAGCCGCAGCAGCCTTTGGCCGCCGGCCACAGGCAGCCACAGTCGCCCGCGCACATGCAACCGATGACAACTTCCGCGTTTGCCACCCTCCGGCAACCGGTCGCCATTGTCCAGCCGCAGATCCCTCAGCCGCAGCTCGTTCAGGTGGTGCAGGTCCCGCAGAATATCCAGCTACACCACGGACAAAACCAGCAGCAGAAGCTCGTCCAGTTGGTGCAGCTTCCTCAGAATTTCCAGCCGCAACAGCAGATCGTCCAGCAACCGAAGTTGTCGCCCGTTTATCATCACAACGCCATGCAGCAGGTGGCCAACAGACGATATAATGTGAGCGTTTTTCATTTATTATTTCACACCTTTTTTAGGGTCTCACGGTTAACGTGTAACCCATTATGTTACGGGCATTGATTTTAAATACTGTTCTTAATCAACGGTTACGAGCGAGTCACGTCGGGTTTGCAATAAGCGAATTAATTCTCGAGACTTATTTTGTATATTAGTTGATTCATGGGCCATTATTAGGCATGTACAAGTTGATTTCCGGGTCATTAAGAGGTACGTACGAGTTGATTCAATAATGCTGTAAATCAATTATCAATAGATTTTTCAAGTAAAGGGTTTACGACCGTAATTGACTCTTTAGAGTTCGATCGTCACACATAACTCGCTCTTATGTTCATCGAGACCACTCGCGAATTTTAATCAAATTTTAATTTTAATGAAAAAACTAAAAAGAACAACATTTTTGAGAAACTTGTCAGCTAACGACCTCATCGTGGTGTTTCTTAGATTATTCTAATAATATACTGAATATTGAATAAATAATGGCCCGGGAATCGACTCGTATGCAGCCGTCGGGTTGTCCGTTATCGCCTGAACTCCACGTCGTCTAGATGGCCGGTTCAGACGTAATCGATATGATTGTTCAGCGGTGCGCCCGAAAAAATATTTTGGAGCCGTTTTATATTTTCAGTTCTCTCTCCTCATTAAGTACTGACTATCTGACTCTAACGAGTCCATTAAACATAAGTTAAAGTATAATATTTTATTATCATTTAGCATGTTGAAACTGTGAACATTTCTTGACGTTAACATGATATTAAATTATACCTGTGTCTTAAAGTAACTGTATATCCTTCAAAATAAGAGAAAAATGTCGGGGGTAAGAAGATTATAAACCATAACCCTCCCTCCACACTCGTGATTACACCACTGTGGTTGTTGATGATTGTGTGAAAAACACACGGGGTTTGCTTTCCAATAACTCATCTTGTAAAAATCGTTTCCAATATATTTGATATAACACTTTAGAATTTTTACCATGATTATTTAATGTCAGTCTAATTTAAATAGCGTTTTATCGTAAAAGTCACGACTAAAGTTGAATACGATAAACTGTTTTCACTGCAATTAGAATATAAGACAAATAATTCGAGCATTTAAATACTATAAATATATTTCAATGTTACACTTTTATTTTTTAAATTTATTAATAATATAATTTTTTATTAGTATTCAAAAAGAAATTCGTATCGATTCCCGTTTGTTTTTAACAATAAAATTTCCAACGTTTAACAACTAGATATTTTTTTATTCTCGGAGGTTTGTTATTTTAAGGCGTTTATAATGTTTCTAGAAGACTTTTAGTCAATGCCGGAAGAATTATTTTGAAAATCGATAGTCACTTACGTGCCCCACTCTAATTTTCGACAACTCAGGTCGATGTATTTTCAACCATATTATGGTTGTTTAAGAAGATATTTATGTAACTTATTAGTTACGATGACCTATCATAAATATATCATTTTACACACATATTATTGACAAATAATTTCAGTTTATTAAAAATCAAAAAAATCTGCTCGGTATTAATTGTTTGTATCTCTAACTTTACGGTTACATTTATGTGGATTTTGCCGAAAATTTACTCTACGATATTTAATAGGTAAATTGTATGTTATTCCGTTTTAATTTTCTCATATTTACACGATAAATAATATTTCTATGATATTATAGATAGTATACCGATTTTAACTCAATATATATATTTTTACCAAATCAATGATATAACAAATTACTAGTTTAGATTTCAAACCATGATGGGTTTTTGTTTTTGCCAATTTTCGCGAAGAATTTGATATTAATAGTAGTTTATTAACTAATCCTATTAAAAGAAAAGAAGAAACGAAAACAATGGATACAAATAATTTCTAAAAGCATATTGGTAGGGTACAATATATTATTATTGAATGGAATACTGGTCGGAATTGAAGTAATCATTGAAGTCAGAGATGATTGTAATTTTCAATTTATTTATTTACTTATTTATTTACTAACAATATAATACTACATCAGACCAATATATATATGATTTCGATAACTAGTATTAAAAGATTCACAACCATTCATTTTAAATTTAATTTTCTGGATGGATTTCAGTCGTTAACTTATACTTTTGGACACAATAATTTGTTTTTCCATTATTCGGATTATTATTAAATATCAAACAATTGTATTTCTGTACTCAGGATAAGAAATGCCGATTTATTTAAATAAATATAAATACCAATACAAATAGGATGAACATATGAATAAACAAAAAACTACTATACTTATTATATACGTATATATTGAAATATTTGAGAACAAAAAAATGGATTTTCATTATTATCTTTCCAAGACTTAATATTTTTAAAATATAATTGTCAAGTATGAATTATTCGCTGAAGTATATGAATTTGGTTAAAGCAACTGTAAGAACTAAAATTTAAAGTGACATGATGATGTTGACGTGTATTTGGTTTAACTGTATTAATATTACGCAATTTGTTTAAATTTAAAATTCATAAAATGGTTCCAATATGTGTATTTGAAAAACAAACTTAAGTGAAGTTCGGTATAACATATAATATCTGTTATGGCTCGATAAAGAGTTCTACATTGTTAGCACAGTGTAAAATACCCTAGATTTTACAAATGGTACAATTAGAAAGCTTTCAAAATCAAAAATAATACTAATTCTTTAAAATAAATAAAAACATGTATAAGTTCCAAGATAGTAATACCACCGTGGATAAGATATATAATATAGTCAATTTTACATCTAAAAAGTGATGTTTGATTATTTTGATTTCTTACTTTTCGCACAAGTGTCGATAGAAAAAAAAAAAAATAAAACCAGAGGAAAGAATTCTTAATGAACGTTAATTAAAAAAAAAAAAAAAAAACAATCATCTCATAACAAATACAAACTTTGTTTAACTCGGAATTTTAAATTAAAAGTATTACATTTTTATTACATAATATTATTTTATAATATATTTCATTATAATTGTAAATGCACGTGGTACTTTAAAAAAACACGTTTTACAATATTCCAGTGTAAAAACAAATTTATTCTCAGAACCATGCAAAACGAGGTTGATATTACTGAAAACAGTTTTAAAATAGAGAAATGAATGTTTATTTTATTTTGCTTTTCAACAGTTTGTAGTTATTCTACATAACATAACGATCGGAATTCCAAAAAGTTGTGAAACTTATTTCCAGAAAATTTATCTCCGTGAAACTGATGTCGGTTTCGAGGAAATTATATGAAACATGCTATGATAGCAACATTGATTTCGAGTCTCGTCCCGGTGCTCGACGAACGTTTGAATATTTTCGGTTTTAGCAGACCCAAGACCGCTACGGAACGGGGACCGCTCACCGTGCGCACACATTGTTTATGAATAAAACGCTGCACAGCCAAACAAATCGCTCTGAATTTATCGGCAGACGGACGCGCGACGCGTTCTATTAACGACTACGACATTACACTCGATCGATGACTGTTTTTTTTTTTTCAAACATTTGTTTTTATTCCGTTCACCGTGCACCATGTGTTTGTATTCGACGAGAAAATACATTCAACTGTACCGTCGAGCAAACAATTAAGCTGGCCGGTAAAAAAAAAAAAAGGAAAAAACGCGCAAAACACTTTCCCTGACGTATCGGCCGAGAGGCGTTATAGGAAAAAAAAAATGTAGAGATAAAAAGCAACTGATCACAACGCTTTCGTTATATATTCGTTGTACGCAATGGGTGAACTAGAAATTTTTACGCCTGGGGAAAATGTTAAAATTACGCCCTACCATAGACCAATAGTCAAATACTCTTCTCGAGAATTTTTTTTATAATAATTAATGTACAATCATACTTATTGAGTTTTAACCTAGTGTCAGTATTTAGTAAAATTAAAAATATCAAATCGGTTGTTAATAATTACAAAAATTACACCCTCTAAAATTTTACGCCCGGGGATGAATCCCCGTCTTCCATCCTCTATTTCTGCCACTGATCGTACGCTGTCCATAACGAACCGTATTAGCGCGCTCCGTGGAAATTCACGACCAACGCGTATGGTTTCGAATCGGTCCGACGTGACAATCATATCGAAGTCGGTTCGCAAGTATTCACGGATTGTCCGTTTAGCCTTAAGCAAATCGACCCCACTGCCTTGTTGCGTGTTCAAAAAGCTTCCGCGCACTAGTAGTTTTACACGCATTCGTTCTCGTTTCGCACTCAGTCGGACAATCGCGTCTGCACTATCGACGCATTTCCGTCCGACGAACGTGCGCACGTGTGATCTAGAAACATTTCCATCGAACGCGGGTTTCGAGTGTTGGGATTGAAAACAACGGACATCGTCAAGAAGAATCGTAATCCTGAACGACCACATAAACGGTTTTCGATCTTGCAAGACCATTTAAGTGTTCAGTTTGATTCGATGCACGCAGACGTCGAACGGTGCTTGGCGAAGTACGTCGAAACACGTCGCTCGAAAACACTGGACCGCAATGCATTTCCAAGACCGTTAATATTACTTTCACAATGTGTTGGATACGGGTCACTTTGAGGAATATCGTTCTACGGGATTACGTCTCGGACCGGACAATAATGTGTCGTCAATAAAAATGTTGACTCTTGACAACATAATTGATTTATGTATACAGATAGATTTATGTAGGGCCCTGGATGATGTAGATATCTGCTGTCCCGGGTCCGAGGAAATATACTGTTATAATTGGAAGAACGAAAAAGACAATGCGGTCGTATGATAAGTTTTAAAATTTACGAACATTTTTTAGCCATTTTTAAAATTGTGTTTTATATAATAATGTTCTCAGAATGTACATACACCGTGTGTTGTTCAGTATTTTTATTTTTTATTTTTATTTACTATCAAGTACAGGTACAAATTAAGAACAAAATCACATTTTTATACTGATCTCGATAAAATAGTTTTCAATATAAAAATGTCGTCATAGTTCTATTTTGTAACCAAC